CACGCAATAATTTCACATGACTTCCTTCTGGACTATCTTAGACAAAATCCTCTGAAAAGTTGCAGGCCTACCTACTCAGAATCATCAATTTTCCAATAGACTACCATACCCAGAATCCTCAGAGTAATTTTCCCATTGACTATGATACCTCAAATCCTCCAAGGGGCCAGCTGGACTATGGTACCCAGAATCTTCAGCATGATTTCCTCCTGGACTACCATAACCAGAATCCTTCATAGGGCTGTAGGACTAAGTACTCGAACTTCTCCCTAACTTCGCTACAGACTACCATAACCAGAATTCTTCTGCAGCCACAGAACTACAATACCCATAATCCATGGACTACTATGCCCAGAATTCACAAGGCTACATAAGCCATAAGCCTACAATACTCAAAATCTTCACCACCACCTCACATCCCCCACCAGGACATTACCCAGACTCATTGGTGTGCCCACACCTAAAACAATACCTGGAATCTACAGCATGCTGCTCTAATTACTATAGTACCCTGAATTTGGGAAATGTTCTCCCCAAGGACTATGGTAGGCTGAAGACTAGACCACAGTTCTCTCAAAAGGTACAGTATGTGGAATCCTCAACGTGACCACAAACTGCAATACCCAGAATACATCTCACTGAGTACCATACCAGAATGCTCAGCGTTCTCTCCCCCAATAATTATAATACCCCAAAGCCTCCCTGTGGCAGCCTATGATGCCTAGAATCAGGTATGTTCTACAATGCCTTGCTACACTCACCCTGGAAGACTACTATACCCAAGACTTCACAGCAGCATCTTTAAAGCCTGGCACACCAAGTCCTCAGTGTGTTTCAATAAAGACTGTGCTGCCCAGGATCATCTGTGTCCCCTCTCCTTCTGTGTGCCCCAAGAGCTGCGATAGGCATAGTCTCCTGCATTGCACCAAACTGAAAACACAGAATCCTCGGGAGTCTCTGTGGATCCACCACCCATGACCCTAACACAGGTGTCCAGCCAGGTGTGCACAACCAGTCTTCTCTCAGATTTGCTAGGATCTGAAGTCCAGGCCTTAGTTTCTTTATTTTTAGGAGCTTATGCACACACTGGGATCCTTTGCCATTTCTGTGATCCAAGTAGTTTTCCCAGTACATCTTTAGAATTTGCTCTTTTTCCTATATAAAACTTAACTTTTAGTTTTGTAGGGACAATTAGAGGAGCATAGGCAGGGAATCAGGGCATGCTTTGGGTGGCTGATGGTTGTAAATTTATCACATGCTTACTGTGCACTATGTACTGGCAGAGGCTAGATCTTGTGAAATTACTGCATGCATGTACTGAGAAACCCCTAGCTCCCTGACCTTTTCCTCACCTTGGAAACAAAGGCTAAGACCCTGATTGGCCTAGATTATACCAATCAGTGAAACAGCTATTTTTAGACACCAGCTTACCCCTATAAGTGCACTGGTTGCCTGAGCTTCAGCCACCTGCTTAGGTTCCCTCTACCTTGCAGCAATGCTCTGCTATAAGGTAGCTTTCTCCTGTATCTGCCATAACGTAAATAAACTTCTGCTTCACATCACTTCAATTCTGACTTCCTCCTGAGGCATTAGGCTTTCAGCCACTCTCGCCCCACTTCTTCATTCTTCACCTGAGTGAGGGCAAAGGCCTGGAGAAAAGCAGAGGGCCATTTTACAGGAAACCCCCAGCCCCTGAGACACCCCGGCCCCACCACCTGACACAACAAACAGATGCAACCCTTGACTCTGGACCTCCCACCCTCCAGAACAGTAAAGTTCTTATTTTCTTATGTATTATTCAGCCTCTGGTATTCTGTTGTTTTTTTTTTTTTTTTTTTTTTTTTTGGTTTTTCTCCAGTACCGGGAACCGAACTCACGACCTTGCGCTTGCCAGGCAGGCGCTTTGCCACTGAGCTAAATCCCCAGCCCTGGTATTCTGTTATAGCAACAGAAAACAGACTAAGACAGAGACAATCCTAAGCAAAAAGTATGTGGCCAAGAGACAAGAGTCAACTGATGTCCCACGTATCACCAGTATAAAAACAATCGGAAGTTGAAGTTTTTAAAATATTATTTTCAATAACACCCCAAAATTGAACAACTGAGGTATAAATCTAACAAAATATGTACAAATATGCATGCAGAAAACTTGAAAATATGCCTTAAAAAACTAAAGGAATATGAATAGAGATATTATTTTTTCAGAAACAGTACAAACATTATTGTTACAATGCCAAACCTAACTTGATCTATAGATTTAGGGGAATCTCAAATTCTCAAAAAAGATGCCAACAAAGTCTTTCTGAAACTAAAAGAAATGGCAGAAGACTGAAGAAGAGTTAAAGAATCTACCTATCTGATCTTGAGCACTTATCATAAAGTGTTGGATAGGTACCAAACACCCTAAATGCAGAACTTAAAAGGGGGGAGGTGTATTTTCAGTTCACCCTTTGAGAGGTCTCAGTCCATAGTTGGCTGACTTCCAGGCAGGGATATCATGGTAAAGAGCAAGGCAGGAGAAAGCTGCCCATTTCGTGGAAAGAACAGCAGAACACCAGCAAGAGATGTGTCTTCCGACCCACCTTCTTCAACTGCCCCTCAACAGCACATCACCACCTAAGCAGCACCCCTAGGTTCTGGTCACCTCTCCAGTAGTCTCTTACTCCAGTCAAGGTGACAACTTTTACCCAGTACCATAAAGGCACAATGGAGAGTATTGGGAAAAGAGTACACAGAGAAATGGAATAAAAATAGCCCCCAAAACAGCCCCATGTAAATATAGCCTACCGCTTTTGTCAAAGGGACATAGGCAACTCAATGGAGAGAAAACAGTCTAAAATGGCTATAGAAAGATTGTGTTAAAAATAAAGCAGGTGGAATCCATAAATTTAAAAACAAGAAAAAAAAAATTAAAAAAACAAAACAAAACAAAAAACCAAGAAAAAAAAAAAAGAAAACCAAGCGGCCGGGGATATAGCTCAGTGGCACAGCACCTGCGTGGCAAGTGAGAGGCCCTGAGTTCAATTCCTGGTACAAAAAAAAAAAAGTCCCAAAAATTCACTCAAAATAGACCATAAACTTCAATTTTCAAATGCAAAATTATAAAACTTACAGAAGATGTACACAGCTTTGTGTCCCTATAAAAAGGAGGATTTGGACATAGAAAATGCACAGACTGCCCTGTGGAAACTGGAACTAGGCTTCCATAACCCTAGAAACTATAGAAGCTGGAGTGAGGCCTATAATAGAGCCTCCCCTAGTGCCTCCATAGGAAATGCCACCCTCCTGTCACCTCAACTCCAGATCTCAAGACTTCAGAGCTGTGAGACAACAAATTTCTGTGATTCTAAGTCACCCAATTTGCGGTACTTTCTTAGGGAAGTCAAAGGAAAACAGACCCATTCTATTCTATCCATCACCCTCCAGGCCACAGCTGCCTCCCCAAGCCCACCCACAAGAGGACAGGATGGCAGCAGGGCCATGGCCACTGGAAGGTGGTCACTTTGCCCCATCTGAGAGGTCTAGCCTCAGCTCTCAATCTCTAAGGGATACTGTGAGATGATGAGGACAAGGGATGGTCAGAGGTCTGCCTCCCCAGAGCTGCTAAATAAGCTTCCCTGCTGTTGCTGGAACCCAGAAGGCCCACACCCGGACAAACCCCTCCTTTCATCCCTAACCTCCTCCATCCTAACCTTTAAAACCAGCCCTCTGACCCTTAACTCCTGATCCTGCTTAGTCAGATACACACATTTTCTTCCTGTTTGAAGTTTTTACTTGAGTCTGCTCTCTTGATACTTAATACTTAAAATAATTGACTTTTCCCACTTTTTCTTTACTTCCTATGCCACTGATTCTTGATACTTACTACAGTTTCAGGTTCCTGTTCAGCCCCATTTATTTCTCAACTCCAAACCCTTCGGTCCATTTGATCCACCAATTCTTTGTTGCTCATGTAAGGCTGTAACCAGATTTATCCTCAACCCTGGCATATAGCTTCAACAACAGACTTATTTATATATCAATTTTTATAAAAACCATACATTGCCACCAACGTTCTCAAAATGAGAAAATTGTGTTAGAAATATAGAGATACCCTTCAAAATTCTTTTCAATTTGTCTATTCCAATTTCACATTTATTAATTAGAAACAATGGCTGGCCTTTCCTACACCTGTGAATGTTACAGACTTAAGCAATGTACGTATATAGTAAAAAAAATGCATATAAATAAGGGAGGAAAGGTATATTTTTTTAAGATTTCTTTCAAAAATGTAGTTAAGAATTTACATTCCACACAGGATACAGAAGCAATGTTGAGAATAAAATGTTTTAGTTACCTTTATTGATTCATTTGTGTGTATTCATGTGTATCAGCTCATTAAAATCAATGCCTCCCCATAAGTTCCAAACAGACATTAGGTTTTGTTGTTTCTCTAGTACTCAAGATTGAACTTGGCCTCCGCATTGAGTTATATCCCCAGCCTTTCTGAGACAGCACCTCACTAAGTTACGCAGGTTGGGCTCAAATTTGCAGTCCTCCTGCCTCAGCCTCCCAAAGACACATGCAGTACAGGCATGTGTCACCTCACCCAGCTCTGGCTGTTTTTATGTACACATGTGATTTTTATTTATTTATTTTTTTTTGGTACTGGAAATCAAACTTAGGGCCTCATGCCTGCCAGGCAAGTACTGTGCCACTGAGCTATATCCCTGGCCCCACATACGATTTTTAAATTACATACCTTTTATAAATTTGAAATTTGCTTTATACAGATCTATGGCTTTACTACTTTTCTTCTTCTTCTTCTTCTTCTTTTTTTTTTTTGGTATTGGGAATCAAACTCAGGACCTTGAGCTTGCCAGGCAGGTGTTGTGCCCCTGAGCTATATCCCCAGCTCCTACTTTTGAAGAGAGAAGTCAGCATGTTAACATACAGATTACTCAAAAAATAAACAGTCGTCAAGAATGGGGTTACAATATCGATCCTGCAGACAATACAGGTTATATTATGAATTTATCTACTGAAAACAGAAGTAGTATACTATATTGAATTCTGGTTATAAGGTGCTTAGTGACAGGAAAACTTATTCACAGTTTTCCTTTACAAGATAAATAGCAACCTATTTCTCACATATATTACAACTAAGTTTATACAAACTGACAACATGTAAAGACAAAATACTAAGAAAATTTTAACAAATAAAAAAAAGTCTCATACACTGTAATGACTTTTTTTAATCTAGCATAAAGGCAAATGTGGTTTTCTAAAAATGCAATCCACATACAATTATAGAAAAAATTTAATCAAGCCACCTAATATGACATATTTCACAGATACCATTCATTTACTATTATGTTCAAAAATTTCCATGTAACGCAGAAGCCACATATCCATTAGAATAGTGTCAAGAAGGATATGCAAACTAAAAATATTAGCAAGTAAACTTAAATCATGCATTTCTCTCTGAAACAAAAATGCCTGGATAGAGTTAAAAGGCAAGCAAAAACAATTATGAACTTTCTTTACATAGCTTGTATTCACCAACCTAGGGCAATGTGTTTTCCCAGCTATGCATGCAGACCGTACCTCATAGCAAAATGATTCAGTTACTAAAAATAAGTAGAAGAAATACAAAATAACCAGTTAAGTTAGAGAAACTAGAGAGACATCAAAGCCCTCCCAGCAAGTAACAAAGTGAGAGGTTAAAGTGAAGCATAAAATCTTAGTACTTAATCCTACATCAACACTTGAGTTTGGAATTATGATTAATAACTAACACTATTCTTTAGGTAAAAAAAAAAAAAGAGTAACTGTTTTGGAATTGAAAATATTCCAAATTTGGAATTAAAAAAAAAATTTAACTTTAAAAAGAGTAACTGTTTTGGAATCAGCACTGTAACTTCAAATCATTCTGCCATTAAGACTGCAAAATCTTTGTTTTCTAGACCCACAATCTGATAACAAGTTCTCAACACAAAAGGCATGGAGAGAAGACAGACTTCACAAGTCACTGAGTTAAACTGTTCTAACGCAATGGAGCTACTAAAATACATGTATTTGTTCTGAACAAAACCTACAAAACTAGCAATCTCTTTTTCTCCAGAATTACAAAAGATAAAAATCTATGAATCAGCACTCTAATGTGATCACAGAAAGATAGCAAACTAAAGTGAAAAAAAAAAAATTCAGGCTCTCTGTAACATTGCCCAATCCATTTTCTGAAGTCTTACTACTTTCTGCCAATTTTGAGAAGTGATCACCTCAACAACCCTTAAAATCCATTACAGTCTCTAAAGATAGGTAATCACCTCTGTGGTTAGGGAAAAACTAATTTAGTTTATTACTTACACATATCTTTCTAAAAAACCTAACTCTAAGAGTTCACCTGACTGTGGTTCTCTTACAGTAACAAAAGATGTCAGAAAAACACTTCTTGGAAACTTTCAAAATTCTAGAAAGACACCTAGCAGTTTGATACTTGAATTCCTTCTCCCCTAATCACATTTTTTTTCTTTTAAAACTTAGAGCTGACAATTTGCATAAGAGTAAAATAGTTTAATTAAAATAAGGACTTCTCATGTTTCCTCCTCCAGAAAATTAAAAAAGTTCAGTGGAACTGAGTGCCAGTAATTGAGAAGTTGCTTTACCATAAGATTCAAACTCGGACGTGGTATTGCAAGCTCAAAGGATTTTACACATTTACAAACATGTGCTTTGCTTCACACAGGGTAGTCCTGACTTTCATGCACCTCGTGTGAAGGCGTTTCAGACTCCACTACACACTGTGTCAGAAGAGTGAGAAAGGATCCTTCCCACTTGATCTTCTATGCAGAATCTTGTCAGATTATGTTTAAATAAATCCCATTATTGAATCAAAATTTTAGAGAACAATCAAGAACCAGAAAAGGAAAATTACAATGTGGATGAGTATCGCAGTTCCCTTCCCCATGGCATCTCCTCCCAGGAGACCCCTCAGTAGCAGACAGGCAGTACAATCAGACTTCATACTGGCTCTTCCTCATTTCCCCTTTTCAGCTGGGTGATTTATTTTTCTCTGTAATAAAGCAAGTAGTATTTCAGGGGGTCTGGCAGAGGGAGGCTCAGGACCTTCTGACGCAGGAAGTTCACTGGAGGATCTGGCTTGTTTTCTAGTGAGGTCTTATCTTCTTCCCGGCATTCCTCTTCCAAGTCTTCACAGCTGTTGTCATCAGAGGGATTAGAAATACGACTGGCAAAGACTTCTTTGTCCAAAAAGACTATTGTTTCCATTTGACGACGGCGGATCCTCCTTCGTTTAAACCTGGGGGTGTTCTTTAGTCCATTTCCACTTTTGCTCAAAGCTTCCTGATGGATGATCTTCTTAATGGTGCCCCGGATAGCAATGCGGGCCAAGTCCTGGAGGCTGCGCACAGCGAGTGGTGCTTCAACACAAGAGCAAGAGGGGCAAATGCAACCATGAGTGACAACATCATGAAGCCCCAACACCCAAAGCCATCACATCATTTGACTGCACTAGCATATCTACAAATATGTTACAAGAACGTAGAGTATTCTAAGCAAATGTTAAATAGTGCACTGATTTGCATTCATGTGGTACTTTTCAAAAGACATTTTCAGATACACTAATTCTTAACTCTGAAAAGGAAACAAAGCAACAGGGAGGCCTGCATAGAATCCCAACAATCTCCACTGCTCTACAAGAACACAGGCCTGTTTTTAAGGGTTTTGGCAGAGAATATACAGCACCTTTTCCCTCTTTTATCAATAACCTTCTTTTCCTGATTTTCTGCCTCCAAGGACAAGACGCCCCTTCTCCCTTCTCCAGGATGAACTCCAGTAGTGCCTATGTTGCAGTCCTGCCACTTCCCTGAGCACCTAGGTTATGCCACTTACCCATCTATGATCTTCCATCTTTCCTGCCCTCAATAACTCACAGTCCCTGTAATGTAACTGTTCCCTCTAAGATGCTGAAACACTTTCCCTCACAGACCATCAGACTCCCAAGTGTCAGCTTTGAGCTCTCTAGCTCTGAGGTACCACCAGGAATATCCAACTGGCCTCACCATCCCAGGGACATAGTCCCTCCCTCTGGAACCTCCTCTTCCCCCCAGCCTAGTCATGTTCCCTAAGACTCCAAGGTCTACCAACATCCCCTTTTCCCATGCCTGTTGGTCCCTGATTTACATCCATTCCATGGCTATAAACAACAAGGACCAGCTCCCAAAGTTTCCATCTATCCTGACAAGGTGCTGAGCCACCTCCAGACCCACAGCTACAGTAGAAATGGACACCTCAGACTCCAACAGTCTTCCTCAGAAAAGCCATGTATCCCTGAACTCTTCTCACTATAAAAGCTACTGTCATCTCAATCTTCATCTCTTGCCTGGAAAATCCAAATAACTTTCTGACTCGTCCCTGTCTCCAGTCTGACACTTATCCATTCAACTTACAAACTGACCACACACAGTGCATGCCTAAGCCACAGTGAGATGGAAGATTAGGGTGGGGACAAAGTGGCCCAACAACCGGAAGGAATGTGTCAAAGTCATGGAGACCCAGAGGACATGTGCAGAACACAAAATCCAGGACGACTCTTTGCTTTCTGAGCACTGTAATGGAACCACTTAGAAAAGTGCCACTTTCAATTCTTCATTTATATCTGGCAGGAAGCCAAGCCAGTCTTTGGATAGGACAGTTTAAATCCAGCACCAGGCCAAGTGAGTTTTTCATAGGACAACTGTCGAAATGCCTTATCTGCATGAGGAAGAAGCCAATCCAAGAATTTTGGATATAAAAGAACCATTCCCATTATCCTCAGGGCTGCTGTTTACCAGCCCGTTCTCACTCTGCAGAGCCTACTTCTGTTCTACCTTCAGTAAGTGTACATCCCTGCTACCTTTCCCATGTATCTTGTCCAGTTCTTTGTTCAGGACACCAACAACCTGGACACCACCCAACTAATAACAACAAGGCCTCACTGCTGTCTTTACTCATGCTATTTCTCTATCTCACTGTGTTCACTGTCTTCACTAGCCTAGGAAACTCTGGCTCAGTAGGATAAAAGTTGCAAATAACTTGATTATTTACTTCAGGGACTCTAAATATAATCACATGAATGTTTACCACCCAACACTGGCTTTCTCCCTCAAAACAAGCATCTCAGGGCAGCCAAAATACTGTCAAGACTCATCCAGGTCTGACCAAGCCTCACATGGAATGACTCATTTTCAACTAGACCCTCAAAAAAAGCTCATAAATACTTCAATGAACCATTCCCTTCCCAAACTCTGCTACAGCTCTGGGAACTGATGTCCTCACTTAACAATAGTAGCACTTGCTTAAAGTTTTACAGTAAAGATTTTCAGAACACACAACTGACAAAATGACCCTCAACCTGACCAGCAGGGTTATCCAGAATTCAAGCATGCTCTATCTGTATATAAACACCTGGAGGCTCTCTACATGATAAACTCAAATTTAGCCTATATACCAACCTCGCATACATCCCAACTCTGACCACAATGGGAGAACATGTGTTTTTAGTTTTGCCCCCCTTGTACAGTTTTAAGGCTTCACTGGGAGGTAAATATTCTTTAATACCATTCCTCTCCTTCTTCTCTCTTTAAGGAATTACTTTTCACACTAAAGACTAAGAACAAACATCATCATCCTCTATCAAACACTCCCTGGTCTCTCCTAACTCCTTTGTATGTTCCACTGTGGTTTGTTATCAAATTTAAAGGACCTTGCTTACGTCACATGACTTGTACTTAGCAAAGTGTGACGACCTCACAAATGAATCCTCACAAATTAAAAAACATTTCTGAAAAGATTCACCAAAAATATATTGTCTTTGGGTGCCAGTGTCTTTAGGTATCATATTTTTCCTCTTCTTTTCCTTTTCCAAATTTTTAAAATGGTAAGTAGTTTAACTTTAAATCAAATCAACTGGAATTCTCATTTCTATGTGAGCTGTTTAAATTCTAAACCATTATGATGAATGCTGCCCTGGTGCCAGCTCTTTACTGGGTCTGCACCCTGAAGGTCTGACATGCAGAGGGTCAGCAAGCAAACCTCTACAAAGTCTTCCATTTGCACCCAGCAGATGAACAGGAATGTGCTCTCTAACCTTCATGTCCCCATAGCAAGAGGTAAAAGGTGCTCTGGGGAACAGGTCTGTGATCTTCCACATGACAAACTAGTTCCCCCTTTTCTAAGTCTCCTATTCTCTATGGCATGACCAGTGGCAGCTCTTTGTAGATTTAAAAGAAGGCTAACATAACCTAGCATGGGACAAAAATAAACTATAATTTTTAAGTGCCTAAAATCCTTTGTACAATTTTAAGGTTTCAGTGGGAGATAAACACTCTTTAATGCCAAGAGGTTTCTTACAAATTTTACTTCCTTTTTATTTGTAATGAGATTGTAAGGTTTAAAAAGAAGAATGAGACATGTACTCACGTAGCTGGACAAGTCTGGACTTCCCTGACTCTGAGTGGCAGGGCTGCACCAGAGGGGCAAAGGAAACAGCCAGAATCTTTTTGGTTTCCCAAGCAGAAGGGCCTGTGCGTGTTATCTTGGTCAACTATTCCAAAGACAAAACAATAATATACAAAATATTTGGCTATTAGATAACTTATATTTGTGATAATCCCTTTATATAAAATCTTAACATATACAGATACACTAAAATGAAACCCTATGGGGCTGGGGATTTAGCTCAGCGGCAAAAGCGCCTACCTGGCAAGCGCAAGGTCGTGAGTTCGGTTCCTGGTACCGGAGAAAAACCAAAAAAACAACAACAAAAAAATAAAATGAAACCCTAGTAATATGAACCCTAATGTGACATGGCATGGAGTACAGAATGCATTGAAGCCCCAGCACCTTCTGTTCATAGGAAATACATATGATACACAAATTTGTTAAAGGGTTACTTGAAGCAGCACTTAGATCAGAAAGGTGGAGATTCTTACAAGACAACTTTCTCACGCTCTTCCGAAAAGGTCAGTGATTTGAAGGAAGCTGGGGTGGGTTGCTCTGAGATAAAAGTAACTGAATGCATAAAACAAGCACAATGCTCCAATTAAATTGGAATTCCAGTCTGCATTGCTGTTAAGTGTGAAGATACAGACATTTCTACAACCCCTACAACAACCAGGGTTTGGGAGAGGCCCAAATGCTAGGCACTACTGCATTCACTGTAACTTTCTCAATGCAGATTTTTCTCTCTGGATTCCTAGACAATCACTCTCGCTCTTCCAGGAGGGATACACCCCAATGGCACCCTTAGGTGCACACTGGGATTTGGTGGCTAATACACTGCAGGGGAGGTCATCAGAACATTTCTTAGTACAGAGGATTCAATTAGACAACACAGTCAGTCCCCATGGGTTCAGTGTGACTAGGCTAGTTTCCAAACAGCCTAAATAGGCCATAGTACTATTTTGGGTCTGCTCTGTCAAGTAAGATTATATGCCAGCCTTCCCTAAAAATATCTAAGCCAGCAAATCTTCTAAAACTAAGGTTCTGTAAAAGGATTACATAGCCATGCACTAGGTAAGTAACAAATTAATCACACTCACATACCAAGAAAAATTTTTTCCAAGAACATTTTTAAAAGCAGCAATTTCTAGTGATAATGAACATCAAATATTTAATCATTAAATGATGTATGAAACCTTAAGTAAAACTATAATTCCCTATTTCTTTTTTCTTTTTTTGATTTTTGGAATCAGGATCTGGCTATGTACCTCAGGCTGGCCTTGAACTCACTATGTAGCCCAGGCAGGCCTTGAACCCACATCGATCCTCCTGCCTCAGCCTCCCGAGTGCTGGGATTACACAGGCGTGTGGCAACATGGCTTACAGATGCAATACTGTAAAGATGTCTACAGTCCTCAAATTAATCTAGAGATAAAACAATTCGAAGCAAAAGCCCAATGCAAATTGCAATACACAAACATTTCTAATATCATCTGTGTAAGCAGAATTATCTTCTGAGAAGGAAAAGATGTTACTGCTTAAGCCCCATAACACACTATACCCACAAAATCCGCAGGAGCCATGCAGATGGCAGCCAGAAGGCACTCAGACCACCACTTCCTCTCTCATGATGCTGCCAGTACTGCCCGACAAAGTGCAACAAATGTAGACACTTGTGTTTCTGAGATTGAAATTGTAAAGATTGAGATAAGCTATAAAGATATAAAGATTAAGAGATAAGAATATTTACAAAAAGATATATGTACAGGTTCTTCCTGGGGACACTGCTTAGAAAAGCAAAAAGTCTACAAAGAACCCAGATGCCCATCATTAAAGCACATTCTTACATACCAACAAAAGGTTTTTTAAAAGACAGTATTTAAAAAAAAAGGATAAGAATAATTTTTTAGACCTAATGAACATCCAATATATGGAAATAAAATATATAAAACCTACAAAAATATAAACCTGCATCTTATATAAAGTGGTATGTTTGCCTGTGTAATTTTTAAATATAGATAAACTAAAAGCAAACTAAGACAGCTACCTACAGAGTACAGAGGTGCGGGGCTGGGGATTTAGCTCAGCGGCAAAAGCGCCTGCCTGGCAAGCGCAAGGTCGTGAGTTCGGTTCCCGGTACCGGAGAAAAACAAACAAACAAACAAACAGAGTACAGAGGTGCATGGGAAGAAGCTCTCAGTGTTCCCTGTTTAGACTTTGAAGCCTTGTGAATATTTCACAAAATTAAAAACCTAGAACGGTAGCCACTAAAAACCGAAAAAGAGAATGAAAGAGCTCACTATACCAGGCTGGTAGTATAAGCTTACAAGAAGTATTACTTCAAATGACTCTGAAACACAGTGACTGCTCACACCTACTGGAAAAGGACAAGAAAGGCTGGAAAAAAGTGTTGGCTGGAGAGGAAGCTCAGGGGCAGAGCAGTTGCCTAAGTATGTGGGAAGCCCTGGATTTGATACTCTACAGAAAAAAAAAAAAAGTAAAATCTTTAAATAGTTTTGGAAGTTAAACTACTGGTGATACTGCAGACAAAAGAGAAGGGTAGCATTGCTGTCAAAACTGATGTTAGAGAGCACCCCGGTCGGTTTTTATTTTAGGTCAGAAGTTGCCAATATGAATGTATGGTACACTTTATCTCCAACAAAGCAGGTGCATCCTGCTCCACAAGTCCACTGAAAACATGAACCCAGTGTTAATGAGCATTCTCTGGCACTAACTGTGGCCTCTAAACACTGATTCTCAATAGGGATCCTTAGAGAAATGGCTAATTACAAGTATGAGATTAAAAACAGATACCAACCAAGTCTAGAATGCCTTAACACGTGGGACAGCAGCAAAGCTATCACAGGCCAATGAAGTATCAAACCCAAGAGTCAACTAAAGAGGCTCTGGTTAAAGATGGGAAAATCTGAGCGTCCATGAAAATCAATGCTATGAAGTATGTTTAAACTCATGAATTCATAATGATACTAAAAAAGAATCAATCCTTCATTAGTCACTACCTTTAGCAGATGCTAGAAAACCAAACTATTGAGAAAATAAGCAAAGGTTAAAAATCAAGATTTATCCTGCCTCTCTTATAGAAAGTATACCTCAGAATAATCAGTAATGAGGGTTTTTTTCCTTTATAAAGTAATTCAGCTCCTAGATAAAGGAAGAAATGATGGAATTAGAATTGTTCCTAATTGTTCCTAATAAATAATGAATTGGGGATCACAACTATGCCATAAGCATCAGAAGAAAGAGACAATGACTTGATGTGCTTACCCATGCTAATAGAGCTGTCTCTCCATCTCCAAGGTCTCTACATCCACAGATTTAAACAACCATGTACCAAAAATATTCAGGAAAAAAAAAGCTATTCTGGACACAGCTTTTTTCTTGGTCATTACTTCCTAAACAATACAGTAGGAAACAACTTACATAGCATTTGCATTACCTTAGATATTACAAATAACCTAGAGATGATTTAAAAGCATAGGAAGGATGTGTGCAAGTTAAACATCAGTAACATAGTATGATTTTTCTGCAAGGTACCTGAAGATCTGCGGATTATGCTATCCTGATGGGTGGAAGGGGAGTACTTGAAACTAATTCCCTGTAGATACCAGATGACTGTATAAACACTTGGCAAATACTCTTCTGCTCTTCTCCCTGCAATATCTCAGATACAAACCTAACGAAATCTCTAAACCCAACTACCAATACATAGGATATACAAAGAAAAGAAGAACATGCAAAACAGCACCACAGAAATACATAATCTGCAAAATCCAGACTGTGGAGAATTCTACAGAACAAATGACCAATTCTTTGAAAAAAATCAATGGCAAAAAAAAAGAGTAAGAAGAAAGGAATCTCGCCCTCATGGTGGTGCACACCTGTAATCCCAGCACTTGGGAGGCTGAGGCAGGAGGATCATTGCAAGTTCAAGACTAGCGTGGGCTACAAAGTGAGCTCAAGGCCAGCCTGAACAGCATAGTGAGACCCTGTCTCAAAAAAAATAAATAAAGAAATAAAGAAAAGGAATCTCAAACATATATTAATAAAAAATATTGTAAAGGAGAACCTATTAAAAAAAACACCTTAGGATATTTGTCAAAAAATGCAACAGTTGACCCTTACACATGATCTTTCCAAAAAACAAATTCTGGGGACAAGGAAAATTTAAACATGAATTGGATGTTTGAAGATACTAAAAAATTATTAATTTCTTAGGTTGATAACGTTTTTTAAAAAATACCCTCTGTCTTGGACAGCTACATTCTCAAATAATAGATGAAATTTTTAATATAACAGATATTCAGTAATATCTTTATGTAACACTAACAGCAAAAATAACACACAGCCTAATGCTCAGTAACAAGAGCCAGTTAATAAACCTGACTGACAACTCAACAGGGTACTATATAAGCATCAAGCTGACATTCAGTATCAAATAACTTAAAATTATATTCATGAACTTTTAGATAAAACATTCAAGTTATAAACTAGTATGTACAATACTCTTTAAAAAAGAGAACACTGCCGGGTGTGGTGATGCACACCTGCAATCCCAGCACTCGGGAGGCTGAGGCAGGAGGATCATGGCGAGTTTGAGACCAGCCTGGACTACACAGTGAGCTCAAGGGCCAGCCTGAACTGCAGAGCGAGACCCTGTCTCAAAAACAAAACAAAACAAAACAAAAAACCCCAAAATTAAAAAGTACTATAAATATCATATACTAATAGTAATTATGTTAGAGATTATAAGCAGTCTTTCTTACTGTTCATATTTTGTGTATTTTCTAAATTGAGTATCATTTTCTGAACAAAATAAATGCTAACATCCAAAAATCAAAAAATGCACTAGCTCTTAATTTTTATCATATCTGCTTCTCCAAATTCTTTGTGACTAAGAGAAATTCTTCCATTTCTGTCTGATTTACTAATTAATTTTAATCTATTTTGCTTAATGAAACACAGTATCTGAAACACATACAAAACCAAACAGTAAACTTGGACAAGATTCCCACAAAACAAGGATTCTTATAAAGTATTCACCATCAAAGTATTCAACCAGTCGTTTAATAAAATAGAATACTTTGATAGTTTCCTATGTAATTCTGACATTACAACAATTATAACAATTAGAATTCAAAGTGAGAGGGGCTGGGGTAAAAAAGTGGAGGGTAAACAAAATGTGGAGAGGAGTAAGGAAGAAGGGACAAGGACAAAAGGGACAGGAGAGAGAAGGGAGGTGGGAGAGAAGGGCCACAAGCACATGAGTCAGGTCTTGGCTCCCCCTAGGGTCTGTACTACCTAGACAAGCATGCACACCTGTCTTCGCCTCTTTTTCTTAATTTATATAATAGTAGAAGCTATTTCAAGTGTAAATACATATGAACTGCCTGGAAGACACCTTGGCAGACAGTATACAAAAATGTCAACTGTGAAGGACATCTGACCTTCTCCTCCAGAGGCATGACAAGGATCCCTCCAACTTTGAGAAGATTCTTCATGTACTCTTCATGTTCCTTCTGCACACCAGCCCCACAGTACACGCGATCATACTGAGAACAATCTGGAGAAATCTCCAGGCAATTGCCAGTAACAAAGGAAGGTTCACAAAAGTCAAACCTGGAAAAGCAAAAAAATTCTTTCGGTAACTAAACATATCACACTGCAACAAGGTTATACAATAAATCTATACTAAACCCAGGTTATGTTTTAATTGTAAAATTCCACAGCAATGTAAATTTCCAGAGCCAGGAGCTAGAAGCCACACTTCTAAAGAAAATTATAATACAAAAATAGAATCTTAGAAATTCAAAGCAAAATAAAATGAAAATGAATGTCTTAAGCACAATGCAAATTTGAAACAATTTCCAGTTGTTCTTTGCTCTTTGTTTTACTATGCTTATCACAGTAACCAAGTTCTACTGCTTGATAAGTTAAAGAAGAGAAGAGTACATTTTGTTTCTCTTAAAATTTTCATCCCTGCTGGGCATGGTGGCACCCACCTGTAATCCCAGCACTTTGGAGGCTGAGGCATGAGGATCACCATGAGTTTGAGGCCAGCCTAGGCTGCATAGTGAGATTGAGGCCAGCCTGGACTACATGGTGAGACCCTATCTCAAATTACAAACAAATAAACAAACAAAAAATTGTGATCTCTAAAATAAAAAACTTTAATGCCTTACTTTAAAATACCATGAGCTACCATATAAACTGTCCACAGACAAATGCAACCATTTTACTTTAAAAACAATTACCTATTAAAAGGTGGCTATACTAGAAACATAAAACTGGAACTAAATGAAATTTTTGTTTTCTCTTGTTATACTGGTGAAAATTACTTTTACAAAGATATCATGTTTAACAAAACTTAAAGCCCTTAAAACCATGATATTGAAAAAAAATCAGAACAGGCACACATACAACCTGGATCATCCAACCATAGTTTAATCACATTGCTAGCACATGCATACTAATAAACTGGCTTCTATTTAATCCAAAATTTGTTGAATTCACATTCGCTGACCCAATGGATAGCACCTGATCATACTTGTCAAAGCTGTCACTTGTCCTGATGAAGAAGTCCAGTTTCTGTTTTGCGTACTCTATCACATCAGAATGAAGCTCCACCCCATGGTTCACACCAAAAGGACCTAAAAGTTCGACAATAAGAAAGCTTTTAGGACTAAAGCCAAGAAGTCTCCACCTTTTGTTCTGCTTTGTTAATTGTAACACGTCAGTTTCAACATCAAAAAATAACAACTGCAAGCTGGGCACAGTGGTGCATATCTGTAACCCTAGTACTATGGAAGGTTGAAGGATCCCAAGATAAATCCCAGGCTAGGCAACTTAGCAACTCTGTAAGACACAGTCTCAAAATAAAAATTAAAAAGGAGTGGAGTCAGGCATGGTGCTGCACACCTGTAATCCCAGTACTTTGGAGGCTGAGGAAGGAGGATCGCTGTAATTTGGAGGCCAGCCTGGGCTACATAGGGAGTTCAAGGCCAGCCTAAACTACATAGTGAGACCCCATCTCAAAAAATAAAAATAGGGGCTGGGGATTTAGCTCAGTGGCAAAAGCGCCTGCCTGGCAAGTGCAAGGTCCTGAGTTCGGTTCCCGGTACCGGAGAAAAACAAAAAAAAACAAAAAACAAAAAAAAAATAAATAAAAAAAAATAAAAATAAAAACAGTTGGGGCTATAGCTCAGTGTGAAAGACCTGGATTCAATCCCTGGTACCACATCAAAAAAAAAAGAAAGAAAGAAAAAGAAAGGCTTGGGTAGAGGATGTATCATGAAGATCCTGGGTTGAATACTCTGTACCATGAACACAAAGTAAAACTCAAAAATAAAAAAATCACTGGCTATTTCCCAGGTCTCCATCAACTTGCTGCAGCAGCCCAGTCCCTACTCCTACTCAGAGAAATCCTTCACAGACTGATCCCCATCCTTCTGGCAAATTTATCCCACCTTATTCAGAGTAAAAGCTGACATCCTTCTCCTATTATGCCATGTTTACACAAAGACAGAATTCGATAAATCTTTGGTTATCTGATATTGGTGTTACTGATTATCAGAAATGACCATGTTCCCATGTCTACTCTCACAATTTCTGTGAAAACAGCTTAAATGCCTTCAAATTAAGATATCCTCTGAAATCATTTCGATCCCTGAATTGTATTTAAAATATGTAAGTTTACAGGTATTACTTGTGAACAACAAAACAAACAAACTGCTTGGAAGAACTTCAACTATCAAGCTTTTAATGACCCTAGGTCGAAAAAAGCAGCAAGAGGAAAACAGGTTCCTTTTTGCGTGTAACAGGACTGAGCAAACCAAGAAATATGTGACATCAATATTTACATCTGTTATGGTTTGTGTTTAGATGTTCCCCAAAGGATCATATAGTCATGGGGACGGGCTTGTGGAGTTTGTAACTGATTCATGGTCCAATGTTGGGATTATGGGTGTAAGTGCTACACCCATCCTAGGGTGAGTAGCCTGCCTACAATATAAGGGAAGGAAAGAGGCTTGCTCACTGGCTCCTCCCTTTTTGCTCATGTTGCTTTCTGCTGTCTTTTGCTGCCATGAACAGTTGCCCCTCTGTCAGACCACCTTGTCTTGGAGCCAGCTGGTTACGGACTGAAACCTCCACAAACTGTGAGCTACATAAACCTTTCCTTCCTTAATTTTGGGCGTCCAGTATTTTATCTCAGCAACAAGAGAAAAGTAATTAACACCACACCTCTCTCCTGGCCTTCCATCAGCCACAACAGGCTGCAAAGGGACAGGTGGGAAGAGACAGGGAAAAGGAAAGGGCTCCCTGAGAACTCAAGAGCTCCTAAGTGCACATCCTTTTTTTTGGTACTGGAAATGGGAACTCTAGACCTCGCACTTGCCCAGCAGGCGCTGTGCTGCTGAGCTATATCCCTGGCCCCATAAGTGCACATCCTATAGCTACCTACTACCCAATGACTACACTTCAGGCAACTAAAGAAGGCCACAGTCTCTTACCAGGGTATGCAGTCAACCTGGTTCTGTCTGGACAAGGTTCAGACTCTACTTCCACACTCACCTAAAATGAGGCCAACCATGGAGCTGAGGTATCCAGTGCCACTGCCCAGGTTCAGAAACGAGAGCCCTGGCTGCAGATCCAGGGCCTCCATCACCTCTGAGTAGATGCACGGGGCCGAGAGATGAATGTTTCCATGCTTCCATGCCAAGTCTTTGTAGGCATTTTCTTTAAACTCCTCCAGATAATAATCCGCTCGATCAATAGCTCTGAAAGCCTGTTCCACCAGTTCTGTCCGGATATACTGTGCTTCTTTCAAATTATCAATCAGTTCATCGTTGTCCTCACCAGCACTCACAGCGCCGCCCATGTTCAAGATCAAACTCAGGACAGACTGCAGTTAAAAGTTAAAGAACTATTTGTATCAAGGGTAAGAGGCAGAACAATAAAAGCTTGAAACACAAGTTTCAAATTGTGAATTCTAACAATAATGCTGATGGAATATCTTTTGTTAACTACCTTACCCTCTAAAAATAACAGATTTATAAGAAAATCCCAGTTTAATCAGAATTTCAAGACAACTAATACTAAAAACTTACTGAATGTTTACGGGCAATTCAAATTAAAGTGGTACCCTAATCAGATCCCTTCACCCTGACATACACAGGAATAGTAAACCAAGTCAAAATTCCATCCAATCTGTTGATGTGACGTGCATATCCTGATATCCAAATTTGGGGTAAAAACCTTCAAAAAAACCACATCTTCCCAAACAGAACACATTATGACAAACACTTTATTCTAACACAAAATTGGTTTCAAGGCTAAAGATTAGAAACAGAGAGGGTGTACTATCACAATTTACTATGCCCTAAGTGTGTGCTGTGTAGTTTTACCAGCTTTTTCGAAGGTATATTTCTGAGCCTGGGACAGTGGTATATGCCTGTAAACCCAGCTACTTGACAGGCAAAGGCAGGAAGATCTCAAAACTGAGACAAGCCTAGGCAATGTAAAAAGATACTGTCTCAAAATACTCAAAATTAAAATTTAAAAGGGTGGGGATGCCGCTCAGTGGTAGAACACTTGCCCAGCATGCACAAGGCCTTGAGTTCAAAACCCAGTGACACTAAAAAAGTGGAAAAAACCTGCCCTCATCCAGTGCACAGAGAAATATTCTTTTACCTGTTGTTTTACTCTTTCTGAACTATTTAAACATCCTTTTCAATTTTACACTGACCCCAAGTGACTTTCCCAAAGTGATGACCTTACTTCACACAACACACAGTGACAGTGACATACACTGCTAGTGAAAAAGCCACCACACTTTATGAAAACATGCACCTTCTGCATCTAGACAGCCTCCCAACAACCTATTACAATGGTATTACTGTACAGCTCCATGAGCCCTCCCTTACAGTCCTTTGGGTCTCTAACTACAGCAGGAGAGTCACAAAGAAACCCCAGGGAAAGGCTCCACAACACCCATCTACCCAACTAGCTGACTAAAGAATGAAAATAAAAGAATTGAGATGTGTCATGTTTGTGTACCAATTCCCCACAATAAATGTAATCACTATATACTGCAAACATGTACTAATAAAAATACATTTTAAAGAACAGTAAAAATAAATCACCTCTATAAATCTTCAGCTTCTTACAATAGATGAACAAAAAGTGTGCAGGTAAGTGTGATGCAAATTCTCTTCTATTTTATGGTAGAAGAGTCAATCTTCAAGGTTTGAGAAATGAGTATCACCACTCATTTATTAAATTTTCATCTCCTTTTTAAGCTGTTTCAGAACCCTTGTTGACAGTCTATGGCTAGTTAACTTATATGGATGGAATTAAGTGTTAATGTGGTTGGGTTTAATCTTGGATAAGCCACTTAGTTCCGAGGTTACACCCCTAGCCTAGCACAGTTATATTAAAATTTGGGTCACTGGTTAAAAGTAGAGTCATGTGTGTGGATGCTTAAGGGTCTACTTAGCAAAAGACCTTACAGCCACATATTCTGAATGCTGGGTCAACAGTGCCACCTGTTCATCAAAAGCTTGTATAGAATGCTTTTATTCTACCTCAATCTCACAATTTTACCTTTAGAAGGTAACACAAACTATATATTGGGTACAAATTATTTTCTACTAAGAATCACTTATTTTTAACTTTTCCTTACTTTGAAAGTTTATTTCAGATCAAAAGGATGGCTTTTTAGTAAAATGGCTATCAGCTTTCTACAGGTGCTAGCTGCCAGTCACAACCTCACACCTGACAAAACACAGCCAATGTTGAAGCAGGGCTAGCAGTGCCATCCAAAGGCATGATTTTTACACATCAAAGCAGCTTTCTAAAAATGTTCAAAGGAGCAACATTCTTTTTTGGGGGGAGCAACATTCTTTGCACACAATACCCTGTTAATCTTTTGACAACAGAGGTAACTATATAATGCCACTGGCAGGATGTAGGTGAACATGGTGGAGTCTGGTATGTACTACTAGCTTTGCGTGATAATTTAATACTCCCTCATACAGAAATATCACAGCTTATTGCTGACATGTATTTGATCAGTCACCATGCCACCAGAAACACCCACAACAGTGAAGAAACATCCTCACTAATCCAAATCCTATCACTACACCAGCTCTGTAATCCACTCAAATACAATTTCTCAAAGTAATGAATGAGAGAAGCACTTTTAGGCTGTGCCTTTACACTTTGCTCTTTACTATTTGCTGTAATACTAACTATAGTCCCCATCCAGCAGTAACCCACATGATACAATACCACTGCAGTGTGTAGGGCAAAGCTGCAGCAGCATGGGAATGTCTCAAAATTGGCAAATGGTGGCTGTGACTGAGGCTGTGTCAATACAAGCAAAGATGTGGCAATGGGGGTGCCAATTCTGGTCTATGTTGGGCTTGGGAGACTGCACAAGGAGGCCCACAGTCTAACCTAGATGTCACTAAGGAGAATATCACGGCGGGCGAGCTGGAGAAAGGGACCCAAAATTCTACCTCCTATGGGTAAAATAATGGAAAAATGGAGACTTCTCATTTTGAGAACCAGAGATCTTATAAGGGCTAGGGTAATGCTGCCACATGTATACTATTTGTGGTCCCTACTTGTGGACAAAAGCCGGACTATTGGTACATGTTGGGTGGAGTTAGTACCTGAGAAAGACTTCCTAACAACTGCAATTGAAAAAAACGAAAATAAAGTACCTATTACAACACACCCAGGACTGACCACAGGTAATGCCTATCCCACTGTGTAAGAGGGTCCCTCTATTCCCCCAACTGCAATCACAATTTTCAGCTTTTGCAGGCGCCTCAACTTTCCTCATTCTTGAATGACAGCCCACCAAGTAACTAGAACGGAGTCATCTGTTTTAGCCTTTCCTTTGCTGACAGGAACAAAGTCTACCCCTGCAGGCACAAGAATGCAGCTGTCAGATACTCAGTTAGCTAATCTGAGGGTAAAGGCACAGCCCCTAAAACCCACAGGGGCCAAGCCCAGGCAAATTCTCCTCCCCCGCGCTGCCCAAGATCATTTCACAGCGCTCTACCCTATTTTCTTCTCCCCTGTAGGCGACTTCTAAAAAAGTCCAAGGAAGATAGAATTTATTTCAAACCTTGTCAGTTCCTTACTTGCCTGAGAGCTAGCTGGGAAAATGTCCTACCTAGAAATACAGTGCCAGTCAGATCTGGGGACTGCAAGTGAAGCAGGGTGACAGAGAAAATGCTGCAGAGTAAGAGGGAAAATGCTGCGGGTCTCCCGGGGGAAAGGAAGAGCAGACACTGGGGAAGATGCCAGGGCGAGGTTCCCGGAGACGGGTCAGACGCTGGGAAAAGAGGCTGGGGCTGAGGTTCCCGGAGAAGGTGAGAGGAGTCGTTGGGGAGACGCTGGGGGTGGGGTTCCCGGAGAGGGGGCGAGGGGGTGCTGGGAAGAGATGCCACGGGCGCGGCTCACGGGGAAGGACAGCGGAGACGCTGCGGGGCTTTACTGGGGGAAACGCTGGGGGCGACGCTGGGGGCGGGGTTCCCGAAGAAGGGGACAGGAGACGCTGGGGGTGCCTTAGGACGCACCTCCCTCAGGGATGGCCCAGTGCCCTGGGGACGAGGGGAGGGGAGAGGGCCGTAGGAGCTCAGAAACCAAGGTGAGGGGGCGCTACCTCAGTGCGCGCACTCGGCAGCCCGTGGCTTCAGGACACCTGCGCAGGTCCCCCCGCTTGTCCTCCCGCGTCCGCGGCCCCTGCGCCGCTGCTCCAACCTTGGCCGCTGTAAACATCCGCCGCGGCTTTCTGCGCCTGCGCACTACGGCAGACTGCGCGTGCCCCTTGAGCTCGCGCTTAAAAGGGCAACGACACTTAAAAAGGGCGATGGTGAGCCGGGAAAGTGGGCCCCCTTTCTGCCATGCAGTCGCTGAGCGCCACGCTTGGGTCCCTGCAGCGCTGTCTTTGCGAAGGATGTGTGCGGTCGAGTGACTGTGAGGGTAGACAACTCGAAGAAGAGATGCAGGCACGGAGATGGTCATCGCCCTGGCGGTGAGGAACCGCGGGGCCACCCGAACAAGACCCTGTGGGGCCAGGGACACCCTAGACTACAGACGAGGATGAAGTGAGAAAGCAGGATGACAGGGTCGATCCTGGGACAGGAGGGGGCGGGCCAACATCTGCAGGACCAGAAGAACCAATTGCTACAGGCCTGGGCAAAGCAGAAGTGGGCAGGGCCGGTAGTGACCACAGCAGCGACCCATCTTTGCCAGACCTCCGGCCTGCACTTGGCCGCTCTGGTGGCTGGCTTCATCCCACACCTATACCTACAATCACTTCCACTGTTTTCTGGGTCTCAGTAGAAAAACAGGCAGTTGGACTGAATTGTAGTCTAAGTGTCCTTCAGAAACACCTGTCAAGAATGTTCTGAATTTTGTCCTTCCAGTTTTGAGTGAGAAACAGGCTTATTCATGATCATCTCCACTGTACACTCCTCCAACCTCTCTTTTTTGATACCTTGGAGAGTAGGCACTGAAGACAATGATATCGCAGACAGAAAGAGTCTACATTTGTAAGAGAGTCACTTATCCTGCAATGGATTCTGCTGTGAATAAGAAAAAAATGATTATACTCTTTAAAAAGTTTGTATGGAAAGGCACAGACCCAGAATAGCTAGCACAATAATGATGAAAAACAAAATTTGAAAACTAACACTACCTGATTTCATAACATTATAAAATTATGTAATCGAGTGTGATATTGATGAAAAAAATAAACAAATCAATGGAACAGAACTGAATCCCCAGAATTTGACCCACACAAGTATAGTCAACTCTTCTTTGATAAAGAAGCAAAAACAATTCAGTGGACAAAGGGCAGTTCTTCAGCAAATGATGCAGGACCACTGGATATTGGCAAAAAAAACCATAATGTAGAGACAGGTCTCACACTTTTAACATAAATCTTCTAGAAGATAACATAGGAGAAAATCTAGGTTACAGTGGGTTTAGTGATAACTGTTTAGGTGCCTTAATTCATGAAAGAAAAATTGGCAAGTTAAATTTCCTTAACAATTTCTGTTCTCTGAAGCAAAGCCAAGTCATATATACCTGTAATCACATCATTCTGGAGGCTGAAGCAGGAAGATCATGAGTTTGACCTCCATCTGGGAAACTTGGAATGTAGCTTAATTTGAAGGTCTTGGTGTCAATCATCAGTATCACACAAAAAATTTTTAAACCTATTCTTTGAAAGATACTGTTAAGAGAATGAAAAGATAAGCCATAGACTATAAGAAAATATTCATCAATATATACCTGATGAAGAACGTCTAACACTCAACAATAAGAAAGTAAACAGCACAATTTTAAAAAATAGGCATGAGACTGCAGATTTAGCTCAAGAGTAGAGTACTTGCCTAGCAAGTTCAAGACCCTGGGTTCAACACTGTAAAAGTGAACAGCTCAGCACAAAGAGATAACAGTTGTAAGTATCTGCACCAAATGTCAGCAGACATAACTTAATAAAACAAACATTGCTGGATTTAAAAGGACATATAAACGCCATTATAGGGCTGGGGATATAGCTCAGTGGCGTAAGCGCCCTCCTGGCAAGTGCAAGGTCATGAGTTCGATCACCAGTACCTCCCCCCACCCCCCGCCAAAAAAGCCATTACAATTGTCAGTACTTCAATATCACAGTTAAGTCAACCAGACAAAAAAAAAATCAATAAAGAAATATCAGAATTAAACCACACTATTGAACAAATGGACTTCACAAATATCTACAATGATAACAGATTATAAACTTTTCTCAATGACACAGAACTTTTTCTAAAATAGACCATATTTTAGGTCATCAAGCATGCAAAAGAATTGAAATAATCCAGGGGCTGGGGATTTAGCTCAGTGGCACAGTGCCTGCCTGGCAAGCGCAACATCCTGAGTTCGATTCCCAGTACCAGAAAAAAACAAAACAAACAAACAAACAAAAAGAATTGAAATAATCCTTTGTATACTATTAGATCATGGTGGAATGAAGCTAAAAATCGACAGCAAAAGAAGCCAAAGAAACTATGCAAACACAAGGAGATCAAATAATACACTGTTGCTTAATGGATCACAGAAGAAATCAGAGAAGCTATTTAAAAGTACCTAGAATCAAATGACAGTGGCAGCACCTGCCAGAATTTATGGGATACAATGAAAACAGTTCTAAGAGGGAGGTTCATAGTTATGAAGGCACACAAATAGAACAGAGCAGCTCCAAGTACCCTAACAACGCATCTCAAGGTCTTAGAAAGATAAGAATAACCCAAATCTGAAACTCAGAAAACAAAGTACAAAGCTCATAGTGAAAACTAATGAGGTTGAGACTAAAAAGTTGTACAAAGGATAAATGAATCAGGGAATTGGTTCTTTTAAAGGATGGGAACAGATTCTGAGGCTGGAAGAAGACAGGAAAGAGGAGAGGGGAAGGGAAGGTAAAAAGGGTCAAGATGTGATATGTGTATGCACCAATTCCCCCACTGTGAATATATTTATTATGTATCACAAACATATACTAATAAAAATTTTGGGAAAAAGACCCAAGGTTCATTCCCAACACTGCAAAAAAAATTTTTTTAAATTGAAAAGAAAAGAGCAAAATGTCTAAACAGATGCCTCAGCAAAGAGAAATTTACAAATGGCAAATGAGCATGTGAATAGATCTTCAACACAGTGTGTCATTAGAGAATGGCACACTTATAAAACAAGGAGACACCAACACGCATCTATGAGAAGGGCCCAATCTCTGGGTTACCAAAATAGCGGAGCAGTGAGTGCCAGTAACTCAGCTTCTCCAGGACAGAGTATCTACAGTCTGGAAAACAATAGCTAGGAGAGGAACTAAAGTGAATGGAGGTTACCTGGGAACCATGAGGAAACTGATAGGGGAGAAGAAAATTGGACTATGTGGTACAGAAGACATAGATTACACCGTGAAGGAGAGACCATGCAGCACTGCTGAAAGCGACTAGCTAGCTGAGAGCTGGAAGGCAAAGTGAAACTAACACTTTTTTGCTCTTGGAGAATAGGAGAACTGCATTGGAACTGAAAGAAGAACCTGCAGTTGGAACCAACAAGGAAAATATGGGTGGCTGCTTCCAGAGCGGCCCTCCAAAATCAATAGTTGGTAAGTGACCTCGGTACAAGTGCTCACAGGTACAATCTCAGAGCAAGAGTTGTCAGGGATGCCATTATAGGGAAGGGCTGAGTAACTCCTTGCTTGCTTCACAATGCCAAATTCCCAGAGTGAATGAAGGAAAGACAGTCCAGGAGACTGCAAAGCAGACTGGAAGGACTCCTGCGGAGTGGCAGGGGTTGGTGAACACAGAGCCAGCTTCTGCAGTCAGAGGCCAGGCTCAGTCTGCGTTAACAGGATTGGAAGCTCACACTGATGCTGTGTTCTCACTGTAAACAGATACACAGCACAGTTCTGGAGACAGACTGTCACCTTACATCCTGGCTTAAACTCTGCTCCTTAACCCTAGGCTGAGGAAAAGAGTCTTGTGTCCAAAACAATAGGAAACTTTATGATTTTTTATTTGATTGTATTATTTTTTATTTTACTTTAAACAATTTTTTATTCTTTGCTGTTTTCCCCCTTATGTACGTTTCCTCCCACACTTTTATTCCATTATTTTACTCTTTTTTATTTTATGAGTATGTCTGTGTATGTGTGCTTTTCTTCCTCTTGACTTTTTTCTCCCAATATAGTTTATAGAGAAGGGAATTCTGCCTGTCCCTTTATATCCTTCCTGCCTTTATCAGTATCTCTTCACCTGATTTCTTTCTCCCTCGTCTTACTCATTCTCAATCTTTCTCTTTCCTCTCTCCCTGTCAATTTGATTCCCTTTAACTTTTTCTCTATCAGTCACAGAATCTTTTCCTATCCCCATTTCTCACTACCAATTTTGAACCCAGTTTTCCCTGTTACTTTCTTCTAAATATATGACATACCTTTACCATCATTAGGATCCTTTGCTCCCTCTCCTATTTCCTCCTTCCCATACCACAGAGCAAAGGACTTTTTTTTTGAGACAGAATCTCACTGTGTAATTCAGGCTGGCCTGGACTCCATATGTAATCCCAAGTGACCTTGAACTGACTATGATCCTCCTGTCTCAACCTCTGAAGGGCTGAGATTACATGCATGCACCACCACACCCAGCTTCAGAGGATGTTGTTCTAAAAAGCTTTTTTTCTCTTCCCTCCTCTGGCATTATCAAGTCCCTGACCCCCTGGGCTTTAGATAACTTATTCTATAAAATTATTCTTGAATGCTGTTTTCATGATTAGGGGAGAAACAGCCATCACATTTAGTGCACATTAATTGTGGATCAAGACATAGGTTGTTTACACTATGACCATATATTTCTTCTCTAGGCTAAAGAGAGGCATCAAACAGGGTTTCATAGTATGTTATTTCTCAACTACCCCGATAGGTACCATTGTAATGGATTAGTCTGTAGCTGCTGTGGCCAATTTGATTCCATAGGAATAATCTTGACATAGTGGGCAATTTTATGCCAGTGAACATGTCTGCCAAATCCACTATCACACCTAGAGAGAGAGAAACAAGAATTCCTAATCCAAGAATTTGCAATCTGGCAGAAAGAAGTCCTAAGTCTGAGTTAGCTTCAGTATTGTGGTGGAGGTAGTTTCAGATCAGAGGAGTTATTAGGGTGTGAGCTGTCAGACTCTCTGCTAAAGAAGCTACTTGGGAATCACATGTGCTGTGTCTCATTGGAATATTTAAT